ATAAAAATAAAAAAATTAAAAAAAATTCAAATGTAATTATTTTAATAAAATATTTAACAAATATTTAGCATTTTTAAAATTTTATTTTTCAATTACTATAAGAAATTAGATGTATTGAAATGCTTTTTATTCATAATGCAATAATAAAACTATAAATTAAAATTTTACATTTACAAAATTTACTTGTTCTTAGCGAAATTTGAAAGTAGAAAAATAAATAACTTAAGTTTACTTAAAAATTAATGAAGTCTTGTGTGGTTGAATAATAATTAGAAATATATGATTATAAATGATTAAAATTAATAATATTTGTTAAAGAAAAATAAAGTTAGAAAATATTATACGTTCGATATATTGCAATGTATACTTTTAAATGGAATAAATTGGATTACATCAATCATTAAATTTTTTCAAGTTATTATTATGAATAATTATGGTTTTTCCTTTTACATTTAGTTTTGAATTTACCCCTTCTTGTTCTATAACCTCATAAGGACCTTTGTAAATGGGCATTAATTTTTTGCATTTGCCTTTATACGGTGTGTTGTCTTTCATTAGCACTAAGTCTCCAACTCTGAAATTTGATTCTTTAATGTATGAATCATAGCGCTCTTTAGATTTTTCTTTAGTTTTAATAAGATTCTCGCGCGCTATCGCGGTTACCTGCTGCAATTTAGTTTTTATTTCATTCATTAGCAAAATTGTCGTATGTTCTGGATCTTGGGTTCTCTATTTACGAACGTTGGCAAATCAATTTTTCTCCCGTATACTAATTCGAAAGGCGAAAATTTTTGTAGAACAATGTGGAGTGGTATTATGAACGAAAACGGCGTAATTAATCCATGTGTCCCACGTTTTTTCATCTTTCCCTATGTACGACCGGACATAGTTTAAGAACATGTGGTGACATTTCTCCAGAGACGCATTTGATTCCGGATGATATACTGATATGTCAACCTTTTCTATCTTTAAAAGTTTACAGGTTTCTCTAAATACGGAGCTCATGAAATTGGTTCCTCGATCTGTTAAGACAGCTTCAGGTATGCCAAATCTCAAGATTATCTCGTTCACAAATGCTGCAGCTATAGTTTTAGCCTCCTGATTGGTATAGGAATGGCTCCTGCAAACTTTGTTAGATCATCAATAAATGTGAGCATATATTTGTTATTATTGTTTGAAACGGGGTATGGGCCACAAATGTCTAGGCTTATTTTCTCAAAAGCATATGTAGCAGTTGTAGTTATGAGCATCGGTTCTCGTGTATTTTTCGATGCTTTACTTGTTTGACATTCTCACATCTATTTATGTATTTTCTATGTCGTTCTTCATATTGGGCCATAGATAGAATTCTCTGATTTTATTGTAGGTTTTAGCTATGCCCATGTGGCCTCCTGCTGCTGGATTGTCATGAAATTTTTCCAAAATCTTATTAATTTCTTCATTATTCAAATTGGTTTTTATAACATCATTATAGAATTTTATTTTAATATTAGTATCCTTGAACATAATTCTTAGTATTATCAGTATTTCTTCAGCCTTTAAATGTTTGTATTCGCCTTGTTTAATAGGATTAGCAACATGCAATTCTCCTATTCCCTTGGATTCAGCTAGACCTTTTAAAGAGTCTATGCATTGGAATAAATCTTTCAATTTGGCCGTTTCATTTTCATTGTGTGTTATTAAATAAATGTATTTGTATCCATTTTCTATAGTTTGTATTGTTGAGTGATATTCAGCGTTTTCGTGAAATCCGATTTACGTTTTGGGGTAAATACAACCTTGGGTATTGATTTGATTCCGCTGTTTATATTGTCTCCGGTTTCCGTGACATTCTTGTTAATAATCCTGCTGTTGTTTTTCAATTGAATAAATTTATCATATCCATTTCTTAATAGAAATACAAGTTTTTCTTCGATATTTCCATTGTTGCCATTACTGTTGTAGTCGTGTACTCCATATCGTGATAAGCAATCCGCCACAAGATTAGATTTTCCCGGCTTGAACTTTATATCGAATTCGTACTCGTCCATGGCTAATTTCCACCTGATATGCCTTGCTGTGGGTTCCTTACAATTATATAGATAGGTCAGCGGTTGATGGTCCGTGTATATAAGAAATTTGTGACCATATAGGTACGGTCGGAACTGCCGTACTCCCCAGATTATAGCTAGTAACTCCTTGTCGATGATGGCGTAATTTTTTTCATGTTTATTAAGCTGCCTCGACGCAAACGCCACTGGAGCCTCTCCTGCTGCTCCTTCCTGTGCCAAAACTGCTCCTATCGCCTCCCCACTAGCGTCGTTGTTAGTATGAATGTTTTGTCGAAATCAGGATACTGCAATACCGGTGCGTTGGATATGGCATTTTTTAATTCCTGGAAAGCTATTTCTTCTTTTGGTCCCCAATTCCACGCTTTATCTTTCCTCAACAATACATTTAACGGATTTGCTATCTTCGCAAATTTCTTATAAACTTGCGATAGTACCCGACTAGGCCTAGGAACATTTTGATTTCTTTCGGGTTTTTCGGTGCTGGAAAACTTTGTACTGCTTCCACTTTGCTTGGATCGGGGGTAACACCCTTTTCAGAAATTATGTGGCCTAAATACGTCAATTCTCGTCTCAAAAATTCACATTTGATAGGCTGAAGCTTTAAGTTGTGGTTGCGAAGCTGCTCGAAAACAGCGCGCAACCGGGTGTTGTGTTCATGGAGAGTCTTACCGTAAACGATAATGTCGTCCATGTACACCAGACCCTCAAAACCCTCAACTCCAGCCAAAACCAAATTCGTTAATCGTTGTAGAGTACTCGGGGCGTTTTTAAGCCCAAACGGCATTCTCTTATATTGAAATTTCTTGCCACAAGCTGAAAAAGCAGTTTTCGCTCGATCTTTCTCATCCAGCTCAACCTGGTGGAACCCGCTGGCCAAATCCAGTGTAGAAAAGAAGCTCGATTGTCCCAGTTGATCTAAGATCTCGGTTATATTCGGCAACGGGTATGTATCGCTGATTGTGCTTTCGTTTAATTTTCTAAAATCTACACAAACGCGCCATCTCCGGTTACCGTCTATATCTTGTTTCTTAGGAACAACCAAAAGGGGAAAGTTCCAAGGACTGTCGGATGTTTCTATAATGTCGTTCTCTAGCATGTCGTCCACCTGCTTCTGAATTTCCGCCTGCTGAGCATGGGGGAGCCTGTACTGTTTTAAATAAATCGGCTTTTCTGAAGTAGTGGTGATAGAATGTCTAATTGAAGTAGAAAATGTTAATTTATCACCACTTAAATAAAACAAATCGTAAAAGTCTTCGCAAATACTTAAAATCGAATCTTTTTCTTCTGAATTCATATGATCGGTGCGGATACTATCTTTAACTGCTTTAATACGATCATAATTACAATTTACTACATCATTATTTAGCTTAAGTATTTGATAATCTTCAAATTTATGTAAATTCGGAAATATAAAATTCTTGTCAATATTTACTTCATGATCATTAGTATTCAAGATTTTTACAAAAATTTTATTATCAAGGGATTTCAAAATAGAATTAGCAATATAAACACCCTCCAAGATCTCAGCAGACTCGCAGAATAGATCGCCTACTTGATCTGTTGTGAATGGAAGTACCATTTCAGTTCTAGGGGAATTGCATGTGCTATATTAAAGTCATCTATTGATTTATTATAAGAGATTCCAGCTGAATTATTGGTCGTGGATAAATTATCCCTACGACAATTGTTTTGGGTTTCTACGACCCTATTTTCTTTTATATGATTTACAGAAGCCCCTAGATCCACTATATCGCTAGGTTTGCGACAATCTGAATCTTTTGAACTATTAGCAGGCGTTTTTGCCTGAGATGTGGCATTTATTGCCAATTTAATATTCTCCAGACCTTTTGTCTTTGGAGAGGCTTTTAAAGCCATGTTACAATTTTTATCATCAAGAATCACAAAGCGTCTCTACTCCTATTAGGATTTTCTGAAAAGTCACCTATTCTTTCAAAACTATCTTTTGTGCCTTGTGTACTAGTATTATTAGCTGGCTCTGACGACTTAACTGTTTCCTTATCTAAATCTGTAAAAAACTTTTCCGATTTACATTTTTGTTTATTAGTACATCGACTTCTTCGTTTGTTTACCGTCCGCGTAAATATCAACGTTATCGGGAATGACGGTGAATTTGTGTTCCAAGTTAACATTACCGAGTTGGAAACTCAATAATGTCGAACCTAGTGTGTGCACGTGTTCACCTGTAATGCCCTTTAAGCGTGATACTTCTGCAGTTTTAGTACAATGGGGTAAGAGATTATTATTTTTCAATATAGACACATCACTTGCTGAATCTATGATGAGTCGGCATTGTCTGTTTCCTATTTTAATATTGACCAAGTTGCTAAGAATAGTTCTTTTGTGCGATACGTATATACCCTATTTGCGCAGGTGTATTCTTGGTCGTCTATACCCCTGGCGTATATTAGTTTTTTGGCTTCGAACCGCTCGGCACATGGTTTGCTGATGAAGCGCCCGAAGTGGAAGGTCGGTTCGCTGGGTTGCTAGAATGGTGCTCACTCTGCCTATTGTTTGGAGGTTCCCGGGCTGGACGATCCACCTCAAATATGGTTCTGCGCCTACAGTTGGATAGATTGTGTCCTGGAATTCTGCACCTTTTGCAAAACAAATTTGTAGTTCTTCTTGGACCATTGAATACAGGTAAGCCCGTTTTTATCTTCTTTCTTGTCGTCTCGTCCGCTCCAGATTCCTTTCTTCTTGGATAGCCATCGATATTGCCTCCTGCAAGTCGTTGTGCCTAGCGGCTCTAACCGGCAACCTAATTTCCGGTATAAGCCCGTTTATGAAAACTGTCAAAGCCAGTTCGTTATGCGCTGTTTCTAGTACGGTCGCCTTGGCACTATCTAGCATTATGCCCTGGTCATACATTAGCCCAAGAAGTCTCTCTATTTTACCGGAAAAGGTCCTAACATTCTCCCCGGGATGCTGCTTTAGATTTGTCAACTCCAGTTGCAGCTCTGCCATAGATCGTTTTTCGCCGAATCTATTTAGGAGAAGACTTTTGAGTTCTTCCCAGCCCACATCACCAGATCGCCTTATGTATTGAAAGGCAGCCCCTTCTAACTTATTAAGAGTTAACCTATGAAGATCCAAACGAGTGGCTGCGTTAAGGCCCTGTCTGCAATTTTCGACAGTATATATAAACCTATTTAGTTCCGACGGTTTACCGTCGAACTTTGGAATTTGTAAATAAGCTAAATTAATTGCTTCAGAATTAACCTTAGTATCATTATCAGTAATGTGAAATTGTCTATCCTTTCGGCAAATGTTGGTGTTCTCCTGGGAGAGCTGGTTGCCATATTTTCGGGGGTACAAAGTTCTTGTCCAATGTAAAAGATGTAATAAAAGATCACTTACTTGGGGAGAGTAGTCTCGTCTGCGTAGTTTATCTCGGTAATGCTGCCACCTTTGGTGCCTTTAGTTCCTCGTGCTAGTCCTGGTCTTGCTGCTTGCTGGATACTCCGTTTTAGTTTAATTACTCTGCAGCCTCTGGTTGCGAAGAAAACCGGATCCAGATTTCACCAAGCACAATTCACAAAACTAACACTTCACTACAAGGAAATCCCACCGCTGCCACCATGAAATGATATAATGGTGTTGGTAGTATGGTTCGGGTATGGGTTGAAGAGTTAACATAGGTATTGGAAACAATTTATATTCATAACATGGACGAAGGTCCGTCTGGGTGTGACGATGATGACACATTGTCGGAGTGTAATGATAACACATTATGCAATTTAGGTTCAAGCATCGCAAATGCTATGAAGACAATTTATAATGATCAGCAGTTAATAGTGATTCTAATAAAATTATTAGCAATAAAAACAGTGATTTAGTGAGCAAAACATTTAGTATTAAAAAGGTGTTGTCAGTAAAGGCAAAGTCATTAAGAGTGGTATGTCAGATAGTGTGAAAAAAGTTAGTTCACAAATACTAATAGATACTATCAAAAATCAAATAATATAAGTCAATATCGAGGTATCAATAACTGCCTAATAACAACAACAAGTGATCAGGATTCAGCGGTCTTGAAAAAACTAAATGCCGATGAGCTACAATATTTTACATATCCAAAAACCAGTGATTCCAAGAATAAGAGAGTTGCTAAGGGGTAGGTATTCCACCATATATTAATACGCAAGAAATATATAAATATTTGACAAGCAAAGCCATAAAAAGTCACCAAAATAATTCAGATGACAAAAACAATAACACTAAATATGGTTCAGTCCACATAATAATACAAAAATTACAAACTAAATACAATTATTTCTTTGATAGACCACGCGATAATTTTGTCTCATTCGTCTTTTCACAGCCAGAGCTTAACATTAGTAACTAAAATTCATTTAGAAAATGAATATCCCCTCAACTTCATCAACTTCATTACCAATAGAAGACTTATGATATGCTATGCTGATAAATCTGTATTTTGGTATTATTTAAAGTATTTTTTTTAACCTGAATTATGAGACACGTCTGGTTTAAAAACATATAAACTATCATTTTATTTGACGCATGGGCTGTTTTTACTACTTAGCAATAAATCTAATAAAAAGATTATACATAAGAAGTCAGGAGTATCAACAGACAGTAGCGATGACAGGTGCTCATTATGCGGCTACGCATGTATTTGTGTGTAAAAACGCTGTGAAGTTAGGTGTGTAAATATTCAAGTCTGTCGAACATTTTGAAATTTTATGAATCATGGGTATAGACACTATAGATAGCTTGCAACGTACTTTCTTATCACTTGAGTCGTAGCCGAGTGGTAAGGTGATAGAATTCTAATTTTTGCGTCTGTTGTTGGAGGTTCGATTCCCGCTCATATTGTTTTTTTTTTTATTATTTTAATTTCATATTTATAATTGCATGAGTAAATAATATTAAAATTAATTGAAGTGTTTAATTAAAATTATATTTATCGCTAAATATCCGATAATAAAGTACCATGTAACGTCTGTATAAAATTGATGTGATGCTTATAATTATAATTAACTTTGTATATAATTATAATTACCTTTGTATATAATTATAATTAAATATGTTAACATATTTTATATTAAAATCAGCTATGATAAGGAAGAAAAAATATAAGTTATATGCATATAAAAATTAATTAATGGTTAATTAACCATTAAGGGAGGATACTTATCGCAAAATAAGACAACTACAAAAAAAAAACAAATTATTCAAGTTATGTCCTTATATTATCAGTGATAGAAAATAAATTCTAAATATCATTACTAATGTTTTTATGAAAATAGATTTTCTTCTGTAAAAAAACACTGTCCAAAATAACTCAAAAGTTTTATTATATAAATAAAATTAAACAATTCATAATTAGAACTAAAGAATATAAGAATATTATATATAAGTGTATATATATATATATATATATCAACACATTTCAATAATGAAAATAATGAATATTTTAACCGCTGCATAATTTTTACATCTTACTGTTTAAATTTATGTTTATCTTTGTTGGTACACCTACGTTCTTAAAAATTTTAATGGCTGCCGCACAATGAGCGAGTTCCATAGACCTTATACAATACATGGACTGCTAGTTGAGCGCATAAAAAGTGTCAAAAGATGTTCTATGGTATGAGGGCATACGAGGGTAATTTTGCGGCCGAGATATGTCAAATACGAACACGAGCTTTACCGAGATTAGTCGAATGCTCTCGATCGCTTAAATTTTACAGTTACTTGGGTTCACGAGATGTTTGATCGCTCGTGTTTTTTACCTAAAAGAGGATAAAAATACGCGTTTTAAAATTGTTAGTAGCAGACAAAATTTAATAAGAAGTAAAATGTCTTCTAAAATGTGTTTGGTCTGTGGTAAAATGTACTTAACAAATAGAATGCACCATGAAGAACATAAAAAGCAAACTTGATAAACATCTACGCCACTTTCACACGAAAATTGTGCTTTTTAAACACCAATAATAAATATATTACGTTTAAACAAATATTTCATTATTGCTTTCTAATTTCCCATAATAGCTCTAGCCAACTGTTCTTATTTTCAGTGGATTTTATAATATGTAAAATATTTTTTTAATTTTTTTCTAATTTCCCCTAAACACTTTGTATAACTAAAATAAATAAATAAATAAAAAATAGTTCATTACATTCATTAGTTTAACATAAATTGTATATTATATAATATTTTCCCAACAATTTTGAACACACGGACTTTCATTTGACGTTTAAGCGATCGAGTTTGATATCTCGGCCGCAAAATTACCCTCGTATGCCCTCATACCATAGAACATCTTTTGACACTTTTTTACTTGAGAAATGTATGGGGACTAGCAGTCCATGAAATTGTATAAGGTCTATGGCGAGTTCACAAACGTCATCGCTACTGTCTACAGCCACGTGTTAAGAAGTCAAGTTTCAGTTGATATTAATTTTATAGGTTAACTACACAGTTCCTGTATAGTAAGAACGGAAGTGATTCTATAAGAAAAAAGACAGGTTGAAGAGAAGTAATACATAAGATAAAAAAAAGCGTATTATATCAACAAACAATAAGTCTGGTCCATGATAGATTAATATCAAATTTAAACATTTTATAGATAGCAGGATAGATAGCGTAGTATATCAACTATATTTGTTGGCAATAGAAAGATTTGTACATCGTGAATTAACTGCTAAACTCATGATCAAACAGGCAATAATTACTGATAGATATTAGTAAATAAAGATGCATATTTCATTAACTTGCAGAATCCAGGTTTATTAGTAGATCAAATGGCTAAGATTTCAATCATGTGCTACGAATGACATTTGCCATAATGTGTTTCATGAGCATTTAATTACACTAATCAGGAACATATCCATTGCGATAAAAAACATGCAGGTACTTACATCCACAAATTCTTACTCAAGTTACCTCATGCAGTTATTGAATATAGAATGGTTTTGTACAATAAAACATTCACATGGGCCTCCAACATGTAGAATAGGGTTTCTTCACTGGCATCTGAAATTATAAAATACAATAGTAATTCATATAGATATAAAAATATTATTTTAATATAACTATAAAAAAGGTAAATAAGTACCCACGAAATAAAATAATTGGAATTGTAGCATAAGTTTTAACAATAACCTATCCTTTGAAATAATATCCACAAACAACAAGTTTCCTACGCACTTAATAATCACAGATACGACAAACATTAGGTTTTAAATTAAATCAAAACAACAAATTTATAACAATAAATATAACTATAAATATAAAAACGAACGTTATTAACGAATATTTCTCATACCAAATCAATGCAAAAGTGAAATAAGATGCTGTCAAAGTTCTTTGCTTTTGTCACGTACTAAATAAATAAGCAAAATTATCAATCCTTCAAACTACTAACCAAAAGCTTGCAAATAATGTTATCGCCAATGTAGGTAATTAATTGTCCACTAAATCACTGAATTGAAACAAAATCGGACTGAAAATCATATACAATACTCTTCATTTATCTATGATCAGAACAAGAACACACTTGTTGAATCTAATGCGAGATGCGTACCATCAACACGTGGCTGTAGACAGTAGCGATGACGTTTGTGAACTCGCTCATTGTGCGGCAGCCATTAAAATTTTTAAGAACGTAGGTGTACCAACAAAGATAAACATAAATTTAAACAGTAAGATGTAAAAATTATGCAGCGGTTAAAATATTCATTATTTTCATTATTGAAATGTGTTGATATATATATATATATATATATATATATATATATATATACAATTATATATAATAATCTAATATTCTTTAGTTCTAATTATGAATTGTTTAATTTTATTTATATAATAAAACTTTTGAGTTATTTTGGACAGTGTTTTTTCACAGAAGAAAATCTATTTTCTAAAAACATTAGTAATGATATTTAGAATTTATTTTCTATCACTGATAATATAAGGACATAAATTGAATAATTTGTTTTTTTTGTAGTTAATTAACCATTAATTAATTTTTATATGCATATAACTTATATTTTTTCTTCCTTATCATAGCTGATTTTAATATAAAATATGTTAACATATTTAATTATAATTATATACAAAGTTAATTATAATTATATACAAAGTTAATTATAATTATAAGCATCACATCAATTTTATACAGACGTTACATGGTACTTTATTATCGGATATTTAGCGATAAATATAATTTTAATTAAACACTTCAAATAATTTTAATATTATTTACTCATGCAATTATAAATATGAAATTAAAATAATAAAAAAAATAATATTATGAGCGGGAATCGAACCTCC